GTGTTTGTTACTGTTTTGTTACTGATATGATAGAATAGTGCTGGGTGTTTGTTACTGTTTTGTTACTGATATGTTACTGATATGATAGAATAGTGCTGGGTGTTTGTTACTTCTTTACTTTCCCTCTGTGGTTCCTCTCTGTCTGTCTGTCTGTCTGTCTGTCTGTCTGTCTGTCTAACCTTTTCCTAACGCTAAACGAGCTTTATTGCCAAAGTGCTTCTTTTTGACTCCAACAAAACAACCAATGAATGCCTACGTAGGTAAGCCAGGCAGTGAGCGGTTTCACGACCCCGCCCAACTTTGTGAGTTCCTCCATTCTGTGTCGGCCTGCGCTTTGTGTCAGATTATTGTGTCACATAGACAGGGACCATCTCTGTGTTGGAACGCAATTTTTCTAGACATTATTGTTGGTTTGGGGGATTTTTTTGTTTCTTTTTTTTTGCTTGTTTTTTTATTTTTTGGTGGGTTTTTTCTTCTTGCTTGTGGCGTGCTGAAAGTTTGGGATGGGACCTCACTTGTCTTTGTTTGGTTTTTGCTTTGTGTTTGGGTTTTGTTTCATTGAAATTCCTCACATACAGCTTTTGGGTTTTTTCTGGTTGGGAACTGTATTGTCCCGTGTAATGAAAGGGAATTTTGGAAGTTCTTTTTTGTTGGTTTTTTTCTCTCCATTCTGCTGCTTGTTGATTCTTTTTTTTTTTGAGCTGTCATTCTTCAATTTGGGAATAGAACGTTTGCTTGTTGTAATTTGTATTCTCTTTGGCTTTGCTCACAGAGTGGAGTGTCTGGGAACTGCTCAGTTCTGCTGCTTGGCTCACAGCCATTGTTCCTAACATTTTCCTGTAGTTACCTGTGTTAACTTTGCTTTTAACAAGTTTTGGGGTCAATTTTTCCCCATTTATTACGGTCACTGCTAACTGAGCTACATGACATGATCGCTGCGGCCTGGTGTCTCATATAGTGCTCTCAGGCCACTCTTATATCTTGTCTCCAGCATTTCTTTTGTTTGGTTTTTTGCACCCACATAGAATTGTATATATATATATATAATACAGTCAAACCTGTGTAAGACGGCCACCCATTGTCAAGGAGAAAAGTGGCCGTATAAGACAGG